ACAGGAGAAGCGGCATTGCTAGAAAAAAAAAAGTCTGAGAGTTTTGCAGTACGCAAACTTTTTTCTTTGCCCTCCCTAAAAAGTCAAAGTCAAACCAGCTATTGAGCGATTTCTGACTGAAAGAAAAGGCTTTGAAGTGGAGTGAAAGCGTTTTCTTTTTGATCTGTGTTGAAATGCTAAATACGTGTCAGTGTGGACATTTGTTCTAACACGCTGGAGATCCAAACAGAGATGAGCCTGTTGAAAGAGAACTTAAAAAAAACACACAATCCTTTCTGGAAAAAACGAGTTTTCTACACATTTCTCTGCATGCACTGCCATATAACCCCATACATCACTGACGTTTGCGATTACAGGGAAAAACGATACATCAAGAATAAAGCTGGCTTTTGTTTTAAAGTATGTGTGACTTGAAGGAACTGTCTCAACAGTAATAATAAACAGAAACGTTTCAGTCATGGACTCACTTTCTCAACTGTACCAAAGACAGTGACCGAGTTCAAGACAAAGGGAGAGAGAGTTGGGCAAGGAATCAGAGGGATGGAAAGGATACTCTCCGTCCCACAGGACGGGAGATAATGAGTTCCTTTCTACGCAGTTAGTTTTCCTTATTTCAATGTTTAATTGATTAAATGCTCCTGCGACATCCAGACAATATTTCATTATGGTCATGTGGACATGCGTTATAAAGGTTAAAGTAGACTGTTCTGCCAATAACTGAATCGGCCAGCTGAGATAAGCCTCTGTTTGAGTCCACAGTCGTCTGTCTTAATTTAGCAGGAAGAAGCCTGAATGAGAAAGGTTGGAAAAGTAACAAGTGATGAAAATATTTTCTCAAAGGTTTTGTAGCTATGAAAGAAATGACCTCACATTCAGTATGTAACTACTTTAAAAATGGTGCAATAACTTAAAAGGCTGCTTAGGAGCTGAATCAATTAATGAAACTGTTAACTAATATTCTAAAGACCCTTTGCTAAGCCCCGCTAAAGTTACTATTGACCAATTATCGGCATGTTATAGATCTTATTGTAAACGATTCATCCATGTATATCCTTCTTTAAATCTTCTGGAGAAAATGACACTTCTCTATGGTGACATGCAGGACTTCAATCATTTAATCTGCTTAAAGGCACAAAATGTAAGATTTCTGGTTTAAAATATCCAAAAACCACTAGAGAAATTTGATATATTTTATTGACTTGTGTACTTGCATTATCCCAAATGCTTCCAACAACTTTTAAATCCAGAGAAATAGCAATTTCAACTAGTGCAATGACCTGTGTCATTGTGTGTCTTATCAATGACATCATATCCGCGTTACCCTCGATTTCCATAGAAACCATGGAAACACCAAAGAAGCCAGTTTTTTTTAATAATATATTATAATATATTATTTGTGTTTTATTAGACAGGTGAGTAACTGTTTGGATAAATTTATCAACAGAAAACGAATCACTGTTGTATAGCATTGTTTAAATTCTTTTGTTTTCTTGATTTACAACGAGTGATTCTACAAAGAGCATTCCCTCCACTGGCCTCGTTCCGCTCCCACGGCTCTCGGCCTCACCCTGCTTCATACCACCGTAATGTTAATAATATTTTTAAAACATTAGCTCACTCCATGAACATGATTTCTGCCTTGAGTCCCGTCGGATTGCTTACTATCGGCTGTGGAGGTGAAGACGTCGACTCCCATGATTCCACGCACATTCACAGCGTCATCAAGCTACGTCTTTGTTATTGTTTTTTTAATAATCGAACTCTAGCAGCGAAGTCCCAAGAACCTACATTTTTTTTCTTTTCAATAAACTGTTACACTGTTCTGTTTGTTACAATAGACAAGAAAAGATTGGAACAAAAAAAGAAAAGAAAAACACCAAATAAAATCCAATGTAACAATTCATTCCAGCCCATTTAGGAAATCTAATAAATTTTGACCACTTCATAAACGCATTTTACATTCACATTTTTTAAGCGCTGCTTAGCAAAATATCAATGGTTTCATACACAACTGTACATTCACAGTACAGTCAGCATTAAGGACACTATAAATGTGTAAACGTAATATATGATGTTCTTAAGCAAACCACATAATGCTCCACGCTCCAAACACACATCATTTCAGCTGACAGGCCACACTTGAACCAATTGTTTTTGAATAACACAAACCTGAAGTTATCCATTGCTCTACATAAACACAGCCTGCCTCTGTGAGGTATTTCTTGGAGCGAAACAAAGAGCTTTCTGTCTAACCTCAAGTGCCAAAAGCAATATTTTCATGTGGAAGCCATACCTGTCCTCTGATTTCCTGTCTTATGTAAGATATCCTTATACACAAGATAAGACTGGTCTGTGCTGTGTTGGAAAAGAGAGAGCATGATCATTTAACTAAGAAGCTCCATTAAAAGTAAGTGTTAATAAAAGATTACAATAGCCTACTTATGCAAAGGAGACTGCTATACAGGCACATACGTTTTTAAAGACTGTAACATAAACTTTTCTAGAGCGTACAAATCTATAATGCTCTTCTGGTCTGGTCTTCTCATTTATGGTAGGCCTACGCCACAGATATTAAGAGAGACCTCAGTGTGCTGAGAGAAGCATTTGCTCCATTAAGAACGAAAAACAGTGGGTGGAGGCTCAACGATTAAATCACATCATACATCCCTGCTGAAGAATGAAACGTTTCAAACACCGTCGCTAGATCGGCAAATCTGACAGACAATAAGGCGACAGTTGCGGAGGATTTCACAAAGAGGCTCTTTCAGATCCCTTTCATTTTCCCGCGGTTTTCAACAGCACAGCAATTTCGACACTGTCTGTCTGTCATGACTTTGGCGCCACAGCCCGGTTGCTGGAGCCAGAGCTCCGTTCCCACTAACGCGAGGGAAGAGCAAAACGTCTAAATAATCTTACTGTAGGCTACTAAGCTCATAATGAATTTAGCAGAGCGAGGATTTTACGATAATACACGTCTATAATCTTTTTTAGTTACTTCCATAAATACTTTACCCACATGTCCGTATGGTTTATGTTATTGGCTCAAGTTTTGTTGGCCGGTATCCTCTCCTAGTGACGGGGATTGGGAAATTAGAGTCATTCTTCTTTGGAACTGTTCGGATCAATAACCGATTCGGCTATTCTTTACGTCATGAAGTAAAACGTCATCGTTCCGGTTACTGTTCCATACTATTTTTAAAATAAGTTTTAGGCTATAAAAATGATAATCGGTGTATTGTGTTTATTGTAATTTAATGTAATTGCTTTGTCGTGGACATGATTCAGCTTATAAAAAGTAGTTATTTAAAACCTACATGTAATTTACATTCAACTGTAGGCTACTAAAATAACTATTGCTAAAAAAAACTTAATTTAATTTAGCCTACATCTTTAGGCTGAGCATGTTCATTAAAAATGATAGCCTATTTATTCAAATTAACTCTGTTTTGTATGTGTGTTAGTGTAACAAAACAGTCATTCAATAAATTACTAAGATTATTATGTTATAAATAATATTATAATATTATTATTATTATTATGTTTTATTTTATTTGTTAACATTTCTGTTATTCAGCTAAGCTATTTTAGTAACCACATCATCGGTTCATTCATCGGATCTCTCATCATTGCGAATCGGACCGAAATAGACGGTTCTCGGTTCAGTGAATCAAGAACCGCTCTGTCAGATTCGTTAAGGAGTCTTTTAAAATGGTATTGTGAACAAGTTCAGTCGCTTAATGATCCGACCAATGTGATTCATTATGTTCTTGATTCATAGTTAATTCCTTCTGACAGTCAACTTCTCCTGAGTAAAAGAGACTAAAAGAGACTAGCCTACTGTTGAGAAAACTGGCTTATTTCGATGTAGTTTTGATGCGACATTCATCCTCAAACAGAAACTAAAGAGAGGTAATCATGCTAGTCGGGGTCATCGTCGAGGCCGGGGATCAAAAGTTCAAGCAAATTCAGCTTTCACAGAAAGATCCTACATGCTGGCGAATGTCTCCATCTAGTGTCTAAAGACTAAACAAGAGGAGTAAGGGGCATTCAAAGAGAAATCAACACTTTTAGTATCTAATACAATATTACCTAGCTAATTCACACAATTGATTAAATTGAGGAACAATACTGCAACCACAGCAGAAATAAACTTAGACTTTTTTAAATACTTTGCTCCCTGCCTTACAGCTATTGGTTATTTGTATTCCCCCAACCAAAGGGAGACTGGCTATATTGTAAAAAGACAATAATATATAATAATTTATCAATAATAAAACACGCTCTTCATATGCCCCTTCTTTAGTCAATAAAATTTCAACAAAATTTCAGTTGCACATCTTTGAAAATTGTTACAGAGGAATTGACCCTGAATTGTGATATATTGCAACATTTACTAGTACAAACAATTAAATAATTAATATTAATATTAATGTAAATATTATAATATACTATCCAACCTTTCACACACACCTAAAGAAACTATTATCTCAGCTGTATTGCACTGATCTGTTGTATTAGGCTACTATTGAATATTATTAATTCAAATTTGAATTAATCATGTATTTATTTTGTAAATAAGACAGTATATATATATATCAGGCTCTGTATATATATATATCAGGCTCTATATATATATATATATATATATATATATATATATATATATATATATATATATATATATAGCCTATAGTTCTATGAAGTGAAGAGAATAGGCCTTGGACCATGTTATTTCGCAAAGCATCCAGTCACTGAAAATCCATGAAAAGACCGACTGGAAAGTAACACGCAGAGCAGTGAGTAATAAGACTACATTTAGCTAACTGTAGTAACTGTGGTAGTGGTATGTTGGAGGAAACAACGGTTACCACGGTAAACTTGTTGTGGGTGTGGGGAAATGAGCGTAGTATCTAAGAGGCGCGGTAGGTGGCAGTGATTTGCCTTGTCCCGTTGTCGGAGGGGTGTGGTTTAAATGCCAGGATCACCCCCTGATGAGGATTATTTGAGTATAGTCTGTCTGAAACAGAGGGGTGTTGTCCTGCCCATACCATTCTGCAATAGGCCTACCATTTACTGAATCTCCGCAGTAGACAGACTCCAGTCGTTCAGCTATAGGTAAGTCATTTGATTTATTTGAACTTTACCCCAACCTCTTCAGCCACAAAATAATGTAGTTAGCTGAAATGTAACGATTTACTTTACTGCAAACAACGCAGAACTGTTACTTGCCACACAAGCGTCTCTCTCTGTGTGTGTAACGGTCCCGGAGGGACACTTTCTTACGGGACACGCCACGAACTCAAACACAAACACACTGTAGATTTAAATCGTTTCAGCAAGTGTACTGGGCCGTGCATTATATCACTTATTTGACAAAACTCCTGTTTTCGTATCGGGCGCTGAAAATGCTCATCAAACAAAGCCATATATGGAGAGATTCTGAATTCTGGGATGCGCCTTTTAATTATGCGGCAAACGGGATCTTTAAAAGTGCGGAGTCTGCAGGACGTTCTCTGCCCTGCTGTCACATATGCATTTGAAAGAGTAAGTTAGGCCTATTATTGATATTTCAGTCGATTGATCCTTTGCTGTAAAACCTAAGCAGACTGGAGCAATTTTGGTTTCAGCCTTCAAGTGGTTCTCAGAAGGACTTAATATGACTAAATAACTAAAGCAAACATATTGTTAACTACTTTTAGTCATAATCAGTTTTTCTGTCAAAAAGTGCTATGGCCATTACAGGGAACTTAAAGATTTGGATTGCATGTGATGTGTTGTATAGTTCCACTTTTGATTACTCATCATCAGTCCCTTGTGCACATTTATCACCTGTTACCATAGAAACACACACAACTGAGACAAACATTAACTTTGTGGTAAAGATGCTTTAGACAAAAAGGAAGTGCTCCACATCACCTCAGGAGACACCCTCAGTGCTTGTGAAAAACTACAGCAACCTTCCCTCATGTCAGAAGTCATGTTTATGACTATTTTGAAGTATTTTAGTGTGTATATATACACATAGTTTGATTGGTGCAGTCTGTAGCCAGGTAGATAACTTGCACCTAGACTGATAACATACTAGCTTTTTTTCATGGGTGTTCTAATCCAAACACGCCTATACACACACCTAGTGATTAAAAGAATAACAGAGGTCTGTGAGAATAGGTTACACTGTGTCTCAGCAGGAAGGACAGAAAAGTCGTTCTCTCCGATTTTATTTACTTTATGCAAGTTACTTTGTAATGGCAAGTGATATGTTGTTCTCATGTCATAACATTACAAAACCAGTGACAAATTTGCATGTGTTTGCTTTCATGCAGTTCTTAAAGTCAGCATGAAACGATATTGCGAGTTGGATTTTGTTTCCCTATTGTGACATATATCCGACCGAAACGGCTTCTCGAACAAGAAAAATTGTAGGGCGGGACTTGATTTTGTCCATCTGGAATTGATTGGATGGTCGGGTTTTGCTATTGCTGTGATGTGGTGTGAGTGACAGGTTTCCCCGCTCTCGCGCCAGTAAACGCATCATCAGAAAAGAGAAGATGTCACTGCAAAAGGGAGGGGAAATTATTTTGATTAAAGATTACGAGGACACAAGGATTTAAAAAATAATAATGATGTTCGCAGATACATTTTTTTATAAAAAAATAGTGCAATATTGAATGCACTGGCTTTTGCAACATTAATAGCTAGAAGGAGAATTCTCCTATAGTGGAAATCACCCAGTGTCATTATGGCTTAGTGATCTAATAATGTTTCTATAGACTGAATTTTTTTTATATTTTCTTAGGGGATCAACCAGAACAGTTTACAAAACATGGGACCCTTTCATAAAATATTTTAAGAATGCACTCTCCTCCCTCTTTAAAGTAACTTGAGGGACCCCACCCCCCTCCCTCCTCCTCCTCCTCCTCCTCCTCCTCCTCCCTCTCCCTCTCCCTCCTCCCTCCTTTTTTATTTACTTTTTATTTTTATTTTATTTTTTGTATGTCAATGTTATTTATTATTATTATTATTATTTATTTATTATTTAATGCGTTTTAGAAGTGTTTTTGTCACTGAATACTTTCTATGTACCTTGTTCTGATAAAAAAAGTGTAATATTTCATTGAAAAAAAGAAAAGAAAGAATCTATTGTCCATTTTAATTGTATGGGGACTTTAGGAACAGCGTTCTGTTTGCTGACTGTTCAACATTAAATCGGTTGAAATAGTCAAGGAAGTATCAGCCACACCAATCTGATAGAAACAGTCTTTCACCTTTTATAGCTCAGACTTTGAACTCCTGCGTGTTTATCTGTATACTAAATAGCAACTCTCAGAGTTTTGTGCTTTAATATGGGGCATGGCTAAAACACAGTCAGTGCAGTCACTGTTTTATCTTTGGGTAAACACTGGGTGCAGTCAAGGGCTTCAACAAGACTTCGAATCAGACTCTGTGCTAAAATATTATCTCAGGAGCATCAGGGCTTGTAAAAGGTGTAGGAAGAAATGTCTAGATGGAAAAACTGAGTCACACCAGGAGTTCATCTGATTTAGGTATTTCTCCTGGAAAATGGAAGATGATTTTATTTTAGTCAGTTCTTAGACTGAGGATTATGTCAAAATACATAAATTATTTTATACTACCCAGTAGTAAGGTTAAATTCAAGTTGGAGGTATATGCTGGTCATTTAACAGATTTAGGACCATCACATGTAACCATTTTCACTTCAGATTTATATTCTTTTCCATTTTCCGAGGGCCACTGTGTCTGAACTTTCGGATCAGTTCAGATTACAGTCAGAATTCAGTCAGGAAATGCCAGATTTACCATGCTTTCTAAAATCAGTGTCTATGAAGTATGTACTTTAGGTATGCAGGTTCAAAGTAGCTAATCGTGCAAATTAATCCATGAGAAACAATTTTTTTTTTTTTTTTGGTACCACCAACTCTTCTTTTTCTCTTTTAAAAACCAATGGCTCCTCAGCTTTTGGGGCCATAAAATCATGATAAACCAGAAGTAGGCTAGTACATCTGAGTAAAAACTTATCAAAATTATATAAACTTATATTATAAACTTATTATTAACAAAACAATGTAGGATGTTGACTTTAGCCGTAAATCGATGCGTAGGCTACTGCCGTCTGCCGGAAGCTATTATTTTAGTCGATAAAGTTTTAAATATGGATATTTTTCTTACACGAACACATCACTTCGCTTCAGAAGGCCTTTAATAACCCCTGGAGAGCTGTGTCGCACTTTAATCATGACTTTTATGGACTTCGGAATATAATCGGCCATTCACTGCGATATAAAGTTTGGAAGAGTCAGGACATTTTTTAATATAACTCCGATTGTATTCGTCTGAAAGAAGAATGTAATATACACCTAAGATGGTTTGAGGGTGAGTAAATCATGGGGTAATTTTCATTTTTGGGTGAACTATCCCTTTAATCTGCACATTTCCACCCACGGCGCTGCCATTCGGTTTTCGCAAGCGACAACAGTAGCCTAGTGTAATCAGTTCTAATGCAATGGCAAAAGTTTGAGCAAAGCTCTCTCGTTGGCTGCACAGACGAACACAGATTTTGACCAAAACATGACAACAGCTGTCTTATAAAGACCTTAGGGAACTGTGTCAACTTGTGTAAAAGTTAAACATGACGGTACATGCAAGTCGATTAGATGAATCAATGTAACTCCACAACAACTAGGCCTACATACACGTATCCACTAACCGTTCAGAAACGTCCAGGTGCAGTCTAAAGGTTGCAACCTCTTCCTGAGTCTCTCCATAAGGCTGCACTCCTCTACTGGTTATTTCTGAGATTTTGTATCAGTGAGATTATTGGCTTGTCTTGTTATTGTTGGAGTATCCGAAACTTGTGTAAATGGTCGGCCCTCTTCTGAATGGGGGCGGGAAGCAGCAGCTCATTTGCATTTAAAGGGACATACACAAAAATGGCGTTTTTGCTCACCCCCCAAAAGGGCAAATTGACATGCTATAATAAATTATCTGTGGGGTATTTTGAGCTGAAATTTCACAAACAAATTCTGAGGACACCATATATTTATATTACATCTTGTGAAAAGGGGCATAATATGCCACCTTAAAAAAAAAAAATATATATATATATATATATATGTATGCATGGATGAATCGTTCACAGTAAAATCAATAACATGCATTTACAAAATAGATAGGTGTTTTAGGGTATATTCAGCAAATGCTGTATATATTGTACACCTGTATTCATGTATCTTACTGCTTTTTGCAAAACTGTATTAAGGCCTATTCAAAGGGACTGACTGTATACAGGCGCTTCCCAGAAACATCTCCCTCCCATTTTGACCCATTAGCAAATGTCACATGACCCTAGGCTATTTATAGTCTCCTGTGGGTTAGCAGGCAAACTCATCAGCTGCATCAGACAAGATGTTTAGTTATGGATTGGCTATTGTATGCTAAATATTTCATGCAATTCTCAAGAGAGAAACCCGGAGCAGTAAATTACAGACTGAGATCAGTCGTTTGCGTGAAACAATGTTCTGTTTAATTAGCCTTTCTGTCGCACTGATGCTTTGTGTTCAGAAGAGATTTTAGAAAATACAGTGTACTTAGGCACATCAAAACATTTGGAAATTAGTTCTAGTTCACACGACATAGACTTTGGTGTACATGCTGATAAGACAACAGCTGATGTAGAACAAATGGAGGCAACATATCTATTCAAGTTCATCATCAAGCGCTTGTTTCGCAGCAGGCCCTGGTTTAAAATAGAAGCCTGATTGTGAAGAATGTGTTGCCAAATAGCGATTTGATCTAATATTGGAGGTGTCAATGAATGCTTGGTGACAACTGTATCTTGTACACTCTAAAAAAAGATGGTTCTTTAAAAGTTCTTTACACGTAGTGATAGTTCTTTTTAGAACCGAACCCTTTATATGCTGAAATGGTTCTTTGCGTAGAGTTTAGGGTTCTGTACTCCCGCCTTTTTGTTTTTCAAATCTGTAACTGTCAAAGCCTCCTCATTACTGATTTTCTGGAACTACACAGACTGTCAACATACTCTCAACAGGTAAATGATTTCATTCTTAAAATATCTATAAATTATAACTTTAAAAATT